ACTTACTTAGATGCTCTTCACTTCACTACATTTTTAATGAAGGAGAGGTTATGAAATTAGTTTCTTCAGGTTTAAAATAAGAGCCTTAACTCTAAGCTTGTCATATTTGTAGCTATTTGTATTTATTATATATAGTACCTAGAAACTTGGGGTATTTCATTAAGAATAAAACTGCATATTTTTACTGCCCAAACGTAGGGTTTTGCAATTTTCTGATTGAATGTATTTTATTTATTTATTTATTATTTATTTATTATTTTGATTTATATCCCGCCCTTCTCCCGACGGGACTTAGGGCGGCTCACAACCTATTTAAAAACAAAAACATACCCACAATCCCCACCGAATAAAACCAATGAAAAGCCAAATATTTAACGTTGTGATTTCCTGTTTAAAATTTCCTTAAAAATAAACCCGATTTAAAATCCTCTCTAGGCCAGGCCCGCTTGCTGGAAAAGCCATGTCTTGAGGGCGCGGCGGAAAGTAGAGAGATTTTGCTGGTTTCCACCCATTGTTCCTACTTTTCAAGATCTTTTTGAATCTTTATGTTATCATTTGTTTGTTATGTGTCCTAACTTTGCTTCATCTATTCATGTGATAAATATATGTTTTAACCCTTCATTCAAGCACTTTTATATATGTAGAACAACTCGGCGGTAGACTGCAGCTTTGTAGTATGCCACCTGATACTTGTTTCCATCTTAATATGAAGTCATTAATGTAATATGATTGTTCAGCTAGCTGTCTATATTTTACTTATTTATCCTGTCTTTATTATTTTTTATAAATAACTCAAGATGGCAAACGTACCTAATACTCCTCCCTCCTGCTATTTTCCCCTCAACAATAACCCTGTGTGGTGAGTTGGGCTGAAAATGACCTATGCTGGTACTGTTTATAATCATAGCATGTCCTGATCACATTTTGTCTCTTTATTATCATTCTCTACTAGAATCTCATGGAAGACTTTGTTGAATACTTTTCTAAAGGCAGGGTGTGCTGTGTCCACTATGTTTCTATGCTAATTGAATTGGTCACTCTTAAAAAAAAGGAAAAAGTCAAGACATTCATCAGGATGGTATAGCATGATTTATTCTCATTAAACTTGTGTTAGCTCCTGCTTACAAACCAACTGCTGAATAATCTGTTTCTCACTTTTGTCCTGTATTATTGTCAAGCTGTCTGGTCTCTAGTTACCAGTTATCTTTTTGAAGATATTTATAGCCAATTTCTTTAGTTGTCACACCTTTTTTGGGGGGTCTGACAATTAAACAAAGTAGGAATAGAGGAACTCTGCCCTCTTCTTGCTATAATTGGAATAGTACGCAAGTGTTCTTGGGGCTGTCCTTTGGCCTGGTGATTTCTGACCATGGGTTGCTCCCTAATACTACTTTAAGCTTGTAGAGATTGACTCTCCTCAAATTTAGTGTGCATGTATTGTGCTCTAGTTTCTCTTTCTACAATATCTTGAGCCTCCTGGAATTATGATCACTTCCTCCCATAATTCTTACTGCTTTTATCTTGTCCACTAATTCTCTGTTGGTTTGGAATAGATCTGAAAAAGCAAAACAGAGACCACTGGGGGATTCTTGACAACTTATAATCTCTCTCTGAAAGTTCTGAAATAAAATAATGATAAGGCAGTGAGATATCTGCAATTTTCTTGGCAAGATTTCACAAGTGGCTTGCCATTGCCTTCTTTCTAACTGTGAGAGTGACCAGCCAAAAGTCACCCAGCTGTATTTAGGCCTCAGGGTCTCCTGGTTTCTTGCCTAGTGCTTTAATCTCTTGGCTTTCAAGTGTATAAAAAGGCAAGTGGAGCTCAGAGGTCACATCCCTCCTTGCTTTTTACAATTTTTGAACTGACAGTGTTACAGTGAAATAAAAGAATAATCGAAGAATTCCATCAGAATAAAATTCAAAATGTTTTGAGTATTCTGACCATAAGAACAATGAGAATTCAAGACAAGCTTGTTGTTCTCTTGCTTTGATTCAAGCACTAGAGGAGGTAGCTGTTCATTCTGGTCCATTTTTCAAAACAGTTGGTCAATAGGGTAATTCTTAATTGTGACATATTTTAAAATTTCATTGCTTCTAAGTAAAAGCAGCAAATGACTTGGTTATGCAAAAAGCTCTTAGCAGTGGGTTGTCATAAGAAATAACTTTCTCAGGAACGACTATTTATAAACCAACTTTATAAATCATCTTGTTAGTTTAAAAGTCTTGATGCTTTTAAGGAATGTCTCAAGAGCTGATTTCTTTTCATTCTATCCTTTCTTGGAAACTCCTACATATCTGTTTTGTAAGTCCAAAATAAGAAAACTTGTCCAAGTTACTTTTCTAAATTGGAATCTATACATCCAAGTCACCATTTTGATTTATTATTTGTGTGCTCCTTTAGCTATTAAAACATCTATTGGTTTCATTTGTAAATTCTGTATAACATCTTTGTCAAATTTTTTTTGTTTGTGTGCCACCTCTCCCGTTAGATCCTTCTTGTATCCTGTCATTTTAAACCCATATCCAAAACATCCCGATTCTCAGTTGCATCTTCTTCTATTTCCTCTTTTGAATCCATTTTATACTATTGGATAATCTAAAAAGAAAATTCTGAATATATTGTTGCCAAATATCCTTGAATTCCTCCAGAATTAAAATACTTCTTTCTATTCTGTAATAGAAGGTCTTTTTCTTTAATTATAACCTTTCTAGTTGCTTCTAGTAACCAACCACCAAGGTCTCCTTTTTCATGCTTTTCCCAATCCACAAAATTTTCCCAGGGAAAGATTTCTTGCACTTAAAATTCAAAATCTTCATATATTTTAATAGGATTTTAAATTAACCACAGAAATATTTTTATAATTATTTCATAATCTTATTTTGAGTTAATCTGGATCCTTAGTCCATTTAAAACCTTTCCAAAATTAGCATTCCAATTATGTTTTTGCTGCTTTGTTTCAAATAACAAAGTTTTTAAGTTCTTACTTAAAACTTACATGAACCTTCTATATCTGAGGATTGAAGAAAGAGCACCTAGTGTAATAAAATTTGTTCTTCTGAAGGCTCTTAATATCCATAAAACAATTTTCAAACCATTTCCAGTGAAAGTAATTAAGGAAGGTGAATCCAGTGTCTCTTGAACATTCTGAACCATGGCTTGGGCAAAACCGACTCTCCTGGCTCCCAGAATTCTAAAACCTACTGGAGACTGCTCTTTTATAGTCTTGTTGCAGGAAAACACTATGGGCATCCCAAATTCTCTCTCTAATCCAGAAAGGAGTTTGGGGAGGAATTGGCTCCTTTTTCCACTGTGGTTGTGGGCTATGCTCTTGCAAAGTTGTCTTCAGTTCACCATGCCCCTTGGAATATTTTCAAATGGCAGCTTCCCTTGTTCTGATTCCAAAAAGGAACTTTAGTTTCAAATCCTATTTTATTGTTTATAAATTTTATATATATTTCTATTGTTTATATTTATTATATATGCAATCTCCATCTTTATTATTTTAATAAATGATACAAGGTGATAAATATACCTAATACTCCTTCCTCTTTTCCCCATAGTAACAAGTCTCTGAGAGAGAATGACTGGCCTAAGCCAGCTTTCATGCCTAAAGTGGGACTAGAACTCAGCCTCCTGGTTTCTAGCTAGAAAGACGCTAAAGGTTGCACGAGTTTGATTTTTAGCAGATAAAATTGAGAATTGTTCAATTTTGATTACACATGATGCAGATAATTTATTTTCAGTTTTGAACCATTCCATAGAAAGGTTTCACCTACAATTTTTAATATTTTCATAAAACAAATTAAGAATAATATAAATGAATACATTAATCACCAAATGGTGTTATTTAACTACTTTTAGTTAAAAACCTGAGCATCCATGAAGTGAAAATCCATATTAAGGCGATGTAGTTACTAGGCCAAGTAGGTAAACTGAAGGAAAAAAAATGTATTCCTGCTGTACCAGTTTATAAGCATTGAAAGAATGTGGAGAAGACTGCACATAAGCAAATTAGGCAGGTGGAGAATATTTAATTTTATGAATTTGGATATATTAATCACAATGTATTGGGGAGGACAAAGATAATTGAATATTTATGTTCATATGATGTCTGGGAAAATGTACTTTTACAATTTGCCAAGTTAACAGAAATTTATAACATGTTCTCCATTGAATGAATTAATCTCAGGGTATCTGTTTTAGCACAACTTTCTATTTCATTATTTTCCGGGAAACCTATATTTCTGAGGTAGACTTATAGAAATATTCATAGTTAGCATTAGATATTGATTATTATGCTTGAAAACCTGCACATTCTTATATAGAGAAAAAAAGATAAAGTATCTATAGTTGTTTGTAGAACTAGGTTTATGAATGGTGTAATTATTTTGCTCCTAAGATAAGCATGAAAAAATGTAGGAAATTAATGATGCCAGTTCTCCATCCCTGGGTAGTTGGATTAACAGCTAGCTGGCCTGGAATGTTAATATAGGTAGTTTTAAAACAGCTTAAAAAGAATGAATTTATTGTTATGATTGCAGCCCTTAAAATATGATTTATAATTGCACCATTGAAGAAAAATGAAATTTGGACATAAATTAATTGTGGTCTACATACATTGCCATAAAATTCAGTAATTGTACAATTGGATATTGATACATCGGAAACATCTTTGAAATAGCTTGTTTGAAGTGTAAAGTGCATATGCATTCTATTTTCTCTAATTAAATATACTGCTGTGCAAAAAATGATGGATGTTTGGCAGTAACTGTGTACACATCAATCCTTACAAACTTAGTTTAAAGCAAACCACCCAGGATATTAAATATAGTTTGTTAAATCATCCATTACAATAAAAATATCTTAAACCTTTATCATTATTATTACATAATTCCAAAGATCAGAATAGAGAAGAATGGAAGTAATAGAAATCCATTTGTTTTATTAAATGCATGCTAACTTCTGTACTATTTATAAAGAATATACATTTCTTTTATAGCCACGTCATGAATACTTTAATGTCCCAGTATATTAAATGACTTCATTCATCATGCACACAGAAAGGCATTAGACCTGGCTTTCTCATGGCAGAACGTTTTTCCTCAGCTTGGTGAATCCAATCATCTTGAACAAATTAGTGTATATCACAGTTGTGTGTTTTGTTTTAGCTGTTTGTATTTTTCCTTGTCCTGCCATTTGCAATGTTTGTTTTTCTTCATATGTTTTGTCAGCATGCTGTAATTTTGTTGTTAAACTATTTAAATTTATCTCATTAGCACTTGACATAGCATGTAAAACTCCAGCTTGAAATACTTTGCTTAGCCTCACTCTATCATTTGAACATTTAACCCAATTCAATATATATATAAATCTAATTTATGCAGCTAGCACATAGAAATCAACTGATATTAACGTATACATTTTATCCCACTAAACAAAATGTTTTCTAAATAGCACCTTCTACACTTATCATGAAAAACAATCCTGAAGGCCACAAATTGTTATACATATATATTAAACAGATTTGCTTCACTGCTAACTAAGTTTAAAAAATAAGTACATTGATCTTGTATTCTCTAAACTATGCATAAGGTATTCCTTCTGCATGCAAAGTCTTTTTTTCATTAATTTCAATATTTTAGAGTAGACTTATGTGGATATCTTCAGTGCATGAATGGAGCTGATCCAAATGTTACAATAGCAATAAAAATGTTCATAAATGTATAAAAGCAACTACCAACGTATATGACTAAAAAAACCCTCCTGATTTCATTTTAAAACAAAAAGTCATAATAAAAAGGGAGACATGACTACTGTTACAAAGTTAGGCTTTCAAAATGGCTGTTAAAAAAATAGAAAATTGTTTCTGCAATATGATTAAATACAGATACAGCATACTAGAGAGAGTCATTATTTCGAACACGGGATTAACGTCATTTTCCATTACCTCTGGGAAGCATGCAAGAAGCATTTATATTGCAGATCTCTCTCTCCCTCACTGTGAATGTATATGGTTTTGCTTCTGTGAATGTACATGGTAAATGCTGCTTTGCATTCTTTTAATGTCTGGCTCTTCAAACTGCTGCAAATGGAGTGCTGATGATGGTGCAGTATTGTTGCACCTTTATGTATGCTTGTAAATTTATCTGCATGCTTGTAAATTACTATGAATTTTTTGGGGCATGTCTGTAATAAACTATTGCATGCACTTCTCATGTGACTGGCTTTTTCCCCCCTCCATTTCTTTGCTGTGAAATAATTCATATTTGTGGAATTTACCTTAATTCTGATTTGCAGACATAACATATGAAATCCTTCTGATAAAAGATTAAACTTTGCTATTTCTAAATAGTTGCACATTCACAAAGAGCTATTGTTTATACACCTTGAATGGTACAGCTACTTTCCCCAAGTAGTATTTGAGATGCGGACTTATTAAGGGTATGCTGTACATAGTACATTATTAGAAGTATAAAACACATTTTTTAAAAATACTATGATACAAAAATGCATACAGTAATAAGGGTATGCAGGTTCTTATTAGAAAATATAGTATATCTTCATTATATTATGCTGGCCTATGACCATAATAAAGATTTAATTTGATTTAGACTTCACATAAAAAGATCTATTAGTGCAGGTGAAATCCAGTTGTATTTCATTTATCGAATTACAGCTCTAACTTTCATGAGAAATTGCCAGAATCAAGTGGCAACCTTCTTGAAAGGGAGCCATTGTGGTAATCTTTCCTTCTCTAAATCAATCTTGTTTTTGGAAGTTTGCATAATGAATGAGGATGCAATCCCTGGTAGTGAATCTGCTGAATGATGAATCTTCAGAATCATGAATCTAATAAAAACTTATTTTTCATAACAAAATGAGTTCAATCCTCTATATAAAATTTATATATGTCTGCAGAGAACAATATCTGCTAGTTACTAATACAATTCAGAGGTGTTACAATAGTGCCTTCATTTTGGGAATTCAGAATTTGTTTTAATTAATTTATATCTGCCTTTACTATTTTTTAAATAACTCAAGATGGCAAACATATCCAACATACCTCCACTTCATATTTTCCCCACAGCAAAAATTGTGACCCTGACTGAACTGTTCAGATTTCGTTGTTTGTTTGTTTGTTTATTTATTTATTTATTTATATCTGCTTTTACTATTTTTAAATAACTCAAGATGGCAAACATATCCAACTTACCTCCACTTCATATTTTCCCCACAGCGAAAATTGTGAGGTGATTGAATTGAACTAAAAGAGTATCTGGCCCAAAGTCATCCTGCTGGCTTTTATGGCTAAGGCAGGACTTGAACTCACAATGTTTCAATTTCTAGCCTGGTGTCTTACCCACTAGACCAGGGGTAGGCAGCCTTGGCTCTTTTATGACTTGTGGATTTCAATTCCCAGAATTCCTGAGCCAGCATGGCTCAGCTCGGAAACCTCTCTTTCCCCTCAGCATGGCTGGCTCAGGAATTCTGGGAGTTGAAGTCCACGAGTCATAAAAGCCAAGGTTGCCTACCCCTGCACTAGACCAAACAGGCTTTCATGTTCCTGTATATTTGTTACATTTATGTGGAAATATTGCTAAAATTCTGATTTTCTTTCTTTTTGGCTATACCTTTTTTAGGATGCTAAAGTAAGTGTTTTTATACAAAAATTACTGGCTGTGCTTTGTGTACATTGATATAAGGAAAATATAACTTGCTTTGACATTTTATTTGAAATTGAACATTTAAAACAATCATTAATTTCACTAGCATAGAAATAACATTTTAATTGGCCTTTACAATTATTCTCTAAAGATTTTATCCATATTTGTTAAATATCTACAATTAATTTTATCTAAAATACTATTTCTTTGGTTGAATCCCTTAATCAGGTCAAACATTCACACTTATCAAAGTGGCTAGTGCCTGTGGGAGTTGTTCAACTTTATGTAGGTTGCTTTCTCTCTTTTATGGTACACCAAAGCATTTCACATAATAGAAACTGTTTCCAGTCTAATCAGTTGACTAAGGAAAGGAGGGAAGAATTACAGGAAATGGGGAGTATCAATTACAGTTATTTAAAAAAAGGTGAGATGTAACTTCCTGAAATTCATTAATTCTTAATATATCTAGCTTGGCAGAAGCAAAAAAAAAAATCTGTTAATTGTCTATTTTTTCTCTCCACAGGAAGCAGAGACCCCTCGTAGTGTTCTTGAAGAGATTGGACTGACATAAATCTTTTTTGATGTCTTTACAGTGTCCCATATAAGTGTAAATGTTCACTGCCTCCATTTAATGTTAGCTAATGGTATTATGATGCTATTTGTCAGTATTATTGTTCTGCTAAGCTACTTATATTCAGGTTTATGAGAAAAAGAATATTTATTATAAAGTTTAAAAAGGGAGCAAAGTTTTTAAATTGGGGAAGGGGATTTCACAGCAATTTAAGCCACATTAGTTTTAAAGTATTGAGTTATGACAATTTTAGTAATTATTTTTTGTGAATTACTTTGTTAAAACACAATGTATCCAATACTATAGATTGTGTTATATCCTGAAAACTATTACATGTGGTGAAATGTGTTAACAAAAGAACTTGGTTTTGTATAGCCAAAGACTTTTATTAAGTCATTTTAGGTTGTCACAGATGATTAAACAAGTATTTATAGCTGTTTTATTTATACCAAAGAATTATATCAAGATCTGCAAGTCAAACTGTTGTAAGCTGTCATGGCAGATTCATTTCTAAGAATTCAGTTATAAACATTATAACAATTCCTTGGAATGAAATTCTAATTTGATTTAATATTTTGCAAAGGGAATGTAAATTGAAATTATATAAAGTGTGTTACTTTTTATAAGCGTAAGTACTGAAATAGTCTTTTCAAAAGGATAAATTCAGATATCATTGAAACACATTTGACAAAAAGGAATTGTTAGAAAATATCTACTTGTTACCAGTATTGTCTGCTGTGTTTTTGAAGTCAATCTGAACAGGTACATTACTAATTGTAGCTGCCCATTAATATTATTCCACCATAGATTCTAGATTTAATCATAGTGCATTGTGGACACAGCAGAGAAGCAAACCTTACAACATGCCTTTGCTCAGCTTGTTTAGTTTTGACTACCATGGTATGCATATGCACATTTCTATGGTGTAGTACATATCAAACAAAATAGAACTTTTAAATATGCATAGGATCAGACTGCATGGATATTACAAAGCAATAGTTTGTTATCCTCATGTGCATTTTGCTAAATATTCTGTAATGTGTTTGAAGCAAATTTTGTTCAGAGCATTTTATTTCTGGAAGTAGGTTGCTTTACATATATTTGTGTGTGTGGGTACATAGACTTCTTCTATTAAATTGCCTTCTAGTGCATCAATTTGCTATAATTGATATTCTCAAATATTGTAAGGCATTAATATAAGTAATGTTACATCAGAAAGATTATTATATCATACTGAGTCCAATAGAAGCGTTATGGAATTAGTAAAGATTACATGAAGTACATACACTGGAGTCCTATGTTTAACTTAACGGGAACTGGAAGAATGAAGTTCACATGGCATTAGAATGGTCCATTTGCTATCTGTGAGGTTGAAATTGGGTGGAATTACTTGACATTTTAAAATATCAAAAACAATTTTTATGCATTCAAACCGTGTTTAAGGTCTGCACTGTTGCCTTGTGTGTTTGTTTAAAAAAGCATTGTGATGTAAAATAAGCTGTGTAATATATCACACTGGTTTAGTTGTAATAAATGTCCATTTTTACTCTTACTGTGCCTGTGTATTCAAAAACTTACGGAATATTTGTGTCAGCACACTACTTTACTAAATAGTCCAAAATACTAATATTGCCTTATTTTAAAGGTAAGTTATTCAAACATTATATAAATCATTGTAGGCGTAAGTTAACAGCCAATTTCTTTAAAAAGTAATGGGGCTGCTCAACGTCAGCTCATTTCTGTTATGCCAGTGCATGGAAGTAATCTGTAGCCATTTGCAATGATAAATATATGGACTCTATATGTATTATACAGCTTTACATATTTGGAAATAAAGCAATGTTAAACTTAACTGATACCAGTTTCTGAAAACAAGTACAAAATTGCCAACTAAGATCCATGTTAGTCTATGGTAGTCAAACGAGTTTTGTAACACCTCTTGAAATTTTATTATAAACTTTTGTGAGCTACAGGTCACTTCATTGATAATAGAGTAGCTTAACTGATAAAGGATTTAAATGCATAGGAATACGGCAATCAATAAAAATGTAGGTGCAAATCGCAAAGTCTATGTCTTAGAAGAAAAATTGTTAAAGTCTTATGCCACATTCTGATTTTCTACAGTTTATAGTTTTATAGTCCTATGATAGACTGAACTATACTTATTTAGAAAAAATGTTGCAATATATAGGAATGGTTGCTGAAATTGGGTATGTCTAGTTCAGGGGCAGGCAACCCAAAACACTCGAAGAGCCATTTGGACCCGTTTCCCACCGAAAACAAAACACTGGGAGCCGCAAAACCCTTTTGACATCTAAAATGAAGATAACGCTGCATATATCCTTATATATATTCTTATATATATATATGCAGTGTTATCTTCATTTTAGATGTCAAAAGGGTCTCCCTCCCCTCTTTCTGCCCTTGGTCTGCCAGTCCTCTTCCCCCACTCAGTATGTGTGTGTGTGTGTGTGTGTGTGTGTGAGAGAGAGAGAGGCACTTGTGCTTCCTCTCTCCCTTTCCTCTTTCAATCTTTCTCTTTCCTCTCCCTTTCTCTCCCTCTTTTTCCTCTCCCTTTCTCTTTCCTCTTTCCTTTCCCTCTTTCTTTCCTCTCCCTCTTTCCTTTCCCTCTTTCTCTTTCCTCTCCCTTTCCTTTCCCTCTCCTCTCCCCCTTCTCTCTCTTTCCTCTCTTTCCTCTCCCTCTTTCTTTTTCTTCTCTCCCCCTCTCTCTTCTCTCTCTCTTCTTTCTTCTCTGTCTCTCCTTCTGGAGAAGAAAACTTTATCCAGATATCATTTAGACGTGACTCTCTCATAAACATAGTGTGAAATCCTTGCCTGAGAAAGAGAGGGAGACACAGAGAGAGGCTGGGTCTCCACTGAGCGTTATCTCTTCGGTAGCATTACTGGGCCCTATCCACCTTTTTTCATCGGCTCCTGATAGATATGACAGCCGAGAGGGGGGTCTGCTTTGTCTTAG